TGTGTGAAAGCTATTTTTAGCTTGCTTGAGTCTATATTATAATACTGCTGGGAGATACAGTATAATGATGACTTTATAAACACTATTCTTAAAATGATGTCCACAGTTTGGTTACACCCGCAATTTGCTGAGGCGTGCCCACGGACCTTTCACCATGCTCCAGGTCTTTTAGGGACCCTAAAAAACTGGTCTTGATGTTTCACTGGTTGCATGCTTGTTCCAGTAATGAAAACATGATCAGAATGGCAGGCCCAAAGCAAATAAGTCAGCAATGGCATCCATCATATTTCTATTCCAATAGGTTCCCCTTTAAGTATACACAAATAGAGACTTTTCAGTGAAACATCTTCAAGAAAAATACAGCAGGTCCAGTTGCCTTGACTTATTTTTTACAGATATTCGATGACCTGGATGAATGAGAACCTTCACAGACATATTGCTTCCTTACTGCTTGCCTAGGCAAGAGTGACCTAGCCCTTTCCCCCCGCAGCCTCTTGGGATATCACACAACCCAAAAATGTGATGAATTATCATGAGATTATGCACTTACATAGACAGCTGCTATGTCATCAAAGCTCTACAAAGCTCCCAGGCCCCAGGACCCAGAACAGAACTTAAGATTCTGAGAAAAAGAAAAAGTTTTTCTCCGTAACAGACACATATTCTGAAGCTCCTTACCATGTGCATGTGGGAAACCTAGGTGACACAGCCACACCTTCCACAGTCCTACCTGTGCCTATATATATATAGGACTATGGGGTAAGTGTTTTTCCCCATAGTTCTCTTAAGGGTCACGGAGCACATATACTAGCATCCTCCCGTGACCCAAAGCTCAGTATATAGCGAGCTACAACTCGTGGTATACTGAGACCGCCGCAGCCTGGACGGATCCCGACAATGGTGTCGAGATCCACCCAGCTGCGTGAATGACAGCTGGCTCTGCCTATCTAGAGGCAGAGCCAGCTGTACCCGCCCCCGTCCCCGTCCATTTCTCCACTCAGCGCTGGAGGATCGGAGAGCGGAGGGGGGGAATCCCTGTGGGGAGCGGTGACTGGCAGTCACGGCTCTCTGCAGGGGGATGAAAAGTAATCACCACTCCAAGCTCGCTCCTGTGATAGACTACAATCTCATGTTTAGTCTACTAATTTGTATTAAGATTGTAGTCCATCACAGGAGTGAGTTTGGAGCGGTGACTACTTTACAACACACACAGGGACCATGGGGAAGAAAAGTAGCCCCCCTCCAGAAGGAAGGACAGTGTCGGCACCAATTCAGAGATGACTGGAGGATCCACAGCCGAGTGATACACAAATAAGATACATTGTCTTTAGTAGTTAAGGTACTTCAATGCATTTTTAAGATTTAACTCCTGAGTTTACCGTCACTTTCAAATGTGGCCACATGTCTTCCTCAAGGACCATAGAGTAAAAGGGTTATAAAGCTGATATACTCACCTTTGATATATTTATACAATGTGATCATATTCCCCCTTAAGTGTCTCTTCTCTAGTAAGAATAAATGTAATCTTTGTAATCATTGCTCATATCTGAGGTCCTCCGAACCTTTGTTGCCTTTCTCTGAACCCTTTCTAGATCAAGAACATCCTTTCTGTGGATTGGTGAAAAAAAAGCACTTGTGTGTTTAGTCAATCATGTTTGCTTATTAATTCTTCATGGTCCACTAAACGGAAAGTTGAAGAGGGGGGGCTTGGAAGGAGTGTGCCCTTTGGTTATATCCTTTTCGGCATCCCTCTTTTCATTCCAGAACGTTAAGAGGCATGTAGATGTGAAGCACATGTATAAATCTGTTGGCCTGAATAATTTAAATCTCCCCTAGCTGCATGTGTACCAATATGTCATTAATTTACCTTTGCAGGTTTAGGTGCAGTCAGGCCCAGAAATATGAAGATTTCATTCCCTTCTTTGGCATCAAAGAAAGACTCAAAGTCCTGAAAAAAAGTAAATTAGACAATATCAGACATCAAATGGTATAATGCAGATAGATTACACATATTACACATGTTTCATATATTGGAAATTTGTAGTAACATTCATGAAAAGTACAACCCTAATTCCAAAATAGTTGGGACACTTAATAAAAACAGAATGCAATGAAATGCAAATCTCATAAGCTCATATGTTATTCACAATAGAACATAGAAAACATATCAAATGTTTAAACTGTAATGCTCGCCTCGGGAGAGGGCTGAATACCCTCTATGGATCTCAACTGCGGAATGGAGAGGGTTAAGGAACGGGAATCAGAATAGCAGCTCCTCCCTGGAATGCCCAGTTTTGTATGTGCTTAGGCGTTTGGGAGGCTGCGGTACATCACGCCCCGTATACACAGTAGGAAATGGGGAAATACCCGCACACGAATGGGTATTGCTTGGCAGTAATGCACGACCGGTTGGAGTGTACAACTACTGATGGGAGCAATGCAATAGTTCAGATAGGTTTAAGGCACAGTGAACAGCTGAGAGAAATACAATAGTTCAGGTAGAGGTATTGCTTGGCAGTAATGCACGACCGGTTGGAGTGTACAACTACTGATGGGAGCAATGCAATAGTTCAGGTAGTTTAAGGCACAGTGAACAGCTGAGAGAAATGCAATAGTTCAGATAGGTTTAAGGCACAGTGAACAGCTGAGAGAAATACAATAGTTCAGGTAGTTTAAGGCACAGTGAACAGCTGAGAGAAATGCAATAGTTCAGATAGGTTTAAGGCACAGTGACAGCTGAGAGCAATGCAATAGTTCAGGTAGTTTAAACTCGGATGCCGTCTGTGGAACCGGGCGACCTTCTGCGGGGCATGGACGTCCCCGGAATCTTCCCAGGAGTCCCCTTCCTGCCCATATCCTTTCCAGCGGACCAGGTACTGAAACCGATTCCTGAAACGTCGGGAGTCGAGAATCTCCTCCACCTCGAACTCCACCTCACCATCCACCTCGACCAGGGGAGGCACCGGAGGTACCCATGCCGTAAAAGGATCCGGGCGGAAAGGTTTCAGGAGTGATACGTGGAACGTGGGATGAATGCGGAGGCCTGCCGGGAGAGAAAGCCGCACCGCGGCATCGTTCACCACCTTCTCGACTGCGTAGGGACCGATGAAGAGCTTGCTGAATTTACGGGAAGGCGTCCTGAGCTTTAGGTTCCTGGTGGACAGCCACACGTAGTCCCCCACCTTGTAGGCCGGGGGTCGGCGACGTATGCTCCCACGGAGAGCTGGGGCTATCGATCCCCGCTGCGCCTGTGCATGACCGCGACGGCCACCCGCACCTGGTCCCTGCAGTGCTCGCCTATTACATAAACTGAGAAAAATGTACTATTTAAAATAAGGTAATTTTGAAATTGATGGCATCAACACGTCTCAAAAAAGTTTTGACAGGGCCATGTTTACCCCGGTGTAACACCCCCTCTTCTTTTACCAACCCTCTGTAAGGCTGGGTTCACACCTATGCGTACCGAATATGCGCGTTTGCTGCGCATTTCGTGCCGCGCGTTTTTACCACCCCAAAGAAGCTACTGTACTTCTTTGGGCGTAGGGCGTTTTGCAGCGCGTTTTGCAGCGCGTTCCTACACGCTACAAAACGCCCAGGTGGGAACCATGCCAATAGGCAATCATTGGTTTTCACATTTTGAGCGTTTTACAGCGGGTAGGAACGCGCTGTAAAACGCCCAGGTGTGAACCAGGCCTAAATGTCTGGGAACTGAGGAGACCAGTTGCTGGAGTTTTGGGTGAGGACTGTTGTCCCATTCTTGCCTGATATAGGGTTCTAACTGCTCAACAGTCCTGTGTCTTCTTTATCACAGTTTTTGTTTTAAGATGTGCCAAGATCTGGACTGCAGTCAGGCCAGTTAAGCACCCGGACTCTTCTACTACAAAGCCATGCTGTTCTCATTGATGCAGTATGTGGTTTAGCATTGTCCTGCTAAAATATGCAAGGCCTTCCCTGAAAAAGACATCATCTGGGTGGGATCATATCATATTCTGCTCTTAAACCTGTATATATCTTTGAGCATTGATGGTGCCTTCTCAATTGTGCAAGCTGCCCATTCCAAACGCACTTATGCTCCCCCATACAATCAGAGATGCAGACTTTTGAAGTGAGCACTGATAACAAGCTGGAAGGTCCCTCTTCACTTTAGCCCACAGGAAGCGGCGCCCATGGTTGCCAAAATAAATGTCAAATTTTGATTTGTCTGACCACAGAACAGTTTTCCACTTTGCGACAGACCATTTTAAATGAGCTTTGGCCCAGAGAAGAAGGTAGCGTTCCTGGACCATGTACAGATATAGCTTCTTGTTTGCCTGATAGAGTTTCAACTTGCATATGTGGACAGCACAGCAAACTGTTCACAGACAGTGATTTTTGGAAGTATTCCATCACAGAAACATGCCTGTTTTTGATGCAGTGCCGTCTGAGGGCAATTTGATGCGGTGCCGTCTCGAGCATCCAATATCGCGTTTCGGCCTTGTCCTTTGCGCACAGAGTGTTCTCCAGACTCTCTCAATCTTTTGATGATATTATGTACTGTCGATGATGAGATATTTAAAGTCTTTGCAATTTGAAGAATATTATTCTGAAATTGTTTGGCAATTTTTAGATGCAGCTTTTCACAGATTGATGAACCTCGGCCCATCTTTACTTCTGAGACACTTTTTTTATACCCCTTCATGTTACTGATTTGTTGCCATTTAACCTAATAAGCTGCAAAATGTTCTTCCAACTCTTCTTTTTCTTGTCTTGTCCCAACTTTTTTGAGACGTCTTGCTGCCATCAATTTCAAAATGACCTTATTTTTGTCTTAAAATGGTTCATTTTCTCAGTTCAAACATTTTATATGTTAGATAGAAAAAAACTGCGCTAGGATTCAAATAACACTCTAAGAGCAGCTGTACTTAATAGGTGAGTACACCCAAAATATGAAAAAAGAAAATAGCACTGCGCTTCAAACTCAAAAATTATATTCCTAAAATTCCTAAAAACTACAATTTTTTTCAAATTTTAGGAATATAATTTTTGAGTTTGAAGCGCAGTGCTATTTCCTTTTTCTTAAACATTTTATATGTTTTCTATTTTCTATTGTGAATAAAATACGGATTTATGAGATTTACAGATCATTGCATTCTGTTTTTATGTAGATTTTACACAGCATCCCAACTTTTTTTGGAATTGGGGTTGTAGAAAAAAGGTTTCATAAGAAAGTTAAGACAAAATACTTAGAGAAAAGTGTTATTTCCCAAAACATAATTCTACATACTGTGAGTAAACTACCAATGGATTTTTTTTTTTTCAATCATTCATCCAACATGACTGCTATCGTAGACTGGTAGACTGCACAGCAATGATTGATATTTATCGGCATGCTTCATTTCCTGGCTGTAAATGGTATTAGAGGCTTTATGTTTTGTATCTTTTTTTATTCAGCCTATTTTGGTTCTGTCACATGCGTATTGTATGAGTTATTTTAGCTTGACATCCTGGAATGTTATCATTCAAAGTACAAACAACACACTAGAAGGGATCAGATGGCTCTGTGGACAGGGTTTGGCAAGTGGCTTGCTGGGTTCATGGGCGATATCTCATTGAAATTGGGCACAGGTTTTGCAGGAGGGGCTTTAGGATGGTGCAATAGAAGTTGCAATTAAACATGTAACAATTAGTGATCCCGTGGCCAGGATATAAAAGTATTTCCATATCCTTCACAAGTTGGCAAAAAAGTTATGCTAATGCACATGGGAATTTCTTCTTCTAAGTACATTTCATGGCGCATGCTCAATGCAATGTACAGCCCAGCTCAATCTCGGCATGCCAAGAATAGAGCCAGGTGCCAGGGATGATGTAGCAGCCCTCAGGGCAACAGCTGCATGTCCTCCACTCGAACATCCTCACGTATAATGCAGGACTGCAGGGGCGGCTTTGCTGGACTGGTCATACAGCGGGGAGGAAGCATGTGGGAGAGAGGAAAAAGGTAAGAATGTGACCTTATTCCTTTTCCACTGGAAGAAATGAGCACGTAATACTTGCTGTGCAGTTGGGGGCTATATATAGTAATTTGTGATTTCTGTCTGGAGTTCAACTTTAACCTTTTCCAACTCTATTAAAAAAAAAAAAAAAATTGCCTATACATACATTTGAAGACCCCACCCCTTATCATTCGAATACCAGAACTTCAGTGGATAGAACAAAGTCTGGTATTTGACATCCAGTATAAAAATGCAAAAGGATATCACCGTTCCGTCTGACGCCAAGCCTCCAACACCTGGTTAAATGTGGGTGCAGGATAGCAGCCATCCATGCTCTAACACAGCAACACAGAAGATAAAAAACCTGCACACCATAGTCCAACCGATAATTGATCATTTTTAATCGTCAAGGCAGAACATGTCCATCATACAGAGACTCCCCGCCTAGAGGCTACATTTCACCTAGGGATGCACTGATACTGATACTAGTATCGGTGCCGATACCGAGTATTTGGGCGAGTACTCATACCAAATGCTCCCGGTACTGATCACGATACCGGAACTTCCGGTATCAGGAAGCCGGGCAAAGAGTCATTACACAGCACCTGGCTTCCTGATTGGCCGGGAAGCTGGCTCCATGCTTCCTGTTCACCAAGGAGCATGGAGTTGGCTTCCCGGCCAATCAGGAAGCTGGGGAGTGGATAATGACTTGCCCCTCCACAGCTTCCTGCTGGTGGTAGACGAGGTCCCACTTTGTAATGGGGAGCATGGAGCAGTCTTCCAGGCCAATCAGGAAGCCGGGCAGCGTGTAATGACTCGCCGCCCAGCTTCCTGATTTGTCAGGAAGCTGGCCAATCAGAAAGCCGGGCTATGAGTCATTACAAGCCGCCCGGGTTCCCAGCTAATCAGGAAGCCAGGTGGTGAATCATGACATGCTGCCTGGCTTCCTTAAAAGGACTTCCGATATCAGTATTCGGTATTGGCGTTGTACCGGAAAAAAAATATTGGTACTCGTATTCGATGCCGAATAACCGGTATCGGTGCATCCCTAGTTTCACCCCAATGGGTTTTTGGAAAGGAAACACAATTAAGCAATTAAAAAAAATATATTTTTCTGTGCCTTTACCTGCTTTTTTTTTTAATTTGGTGAAAAGTTATTTTTGAAGCTGTTTTTTTTTCAGTTTTAGATTGTATAGTATGCAATATACTAAAGAGTATGGTTAAATCCTAGGTCAGGTTTTTTTTTTGCTGTCTGTGTCCCAAGTGGGACAGGAGACCCAACAGGAAGTGAGAATAAATTAAATTTTAGACAGTTGTCTCTATCACCTCATTAGAAGATTTCCCCTCTACTCTGCTCTGGTGACAACTGTAAATGTTTGAATTTCCCATCACTTTCCATCCTGGTGACCATTGTCATAGACGAAGAGCATTATTGACACAGCAATAAAAACTTGACAAAGGTTTCAACACTTAAACATAATTGGAGGCTCAATGTACAGCCAGGGGTTAGGATCCAAGGACTGCCCACAAGGATCAATTTAAATACTAACACAGGTAGTTGACAAAACACTTCAGCATCATTACCTTGATTTAAGCTGAGATAGGTTCACTTTAAACAAGGTTATTGGTCTGTTGCAGTGATAGTTTAGCCAGTGGTGTTCTCCGCTTTCTCTTCCCTAGCATGTTTTAGCCAATAAACAGTAGGTGCTTCAGCCATGATGGGTAAGCTGTCCTCATGGGCTTGGCAAAAATTGGATCTTAACATAGGTCAGATAAAAGCCAATCAGGCTTCACAATCCTCAGCAGTCAGTATTTTTGCCAACCCAGCAAGGACAGTTTATCCATAAATGAGCTGAGATATGCAGAGGTCTGTTTGCTGTAGACCCAACCTGCACTAGAAGCCCCCACCCTCCATTCTACCAACACCTGGACCTACAATCCAACATGCAGAGTTTGTACATGCAACTTTAATGCCATGTCCCTAGACATGTTCCAAGAGAGAGCTCCTGCTTTACGAAAGACTGTCATACTTAAGAGATCCGCTGTCAGGAAGAATCCTGCTGATTCCATTTTTTTCTTAGCCCTTTCTCAGTGGTCTGTCACAATGGAAAGTCTTGGGACTGAAATTTGAGGAATGTGTTCATCTGATAAGCTTCATTAACATACAATGGACACGCCACCTCGGAATCGACAAGACTCCTCATACCTCACAGCCCCTCCTAACATTTAAAAGAAGTAGAAGCAAGCAGAAATTTTAACCCTTGAAACCCTAACCCAAGTAAAAGCTATTTAAACTTTTTTTAGCTTATGCTATGTGAATGGGAGCATGTAACAAACATAAAATAGGGCTAAATTTGGCTTCAAAAGTGTAAATACACTTTAAACTGTATCTACAGCCAACAATTTGTTTTGAATTGAATAGAGTAGAGAAGGGGTAAAACCGCTGCCAATTTTTCATTCTAAGCTATTGCCCCATTAGAGAGCTTTCCCTTCACTTTATGTCGCAAACACACAACAGAAGCTGAGGAAATCTCTTCAAAGTGTGCAGAAATCGCTTCTGCGAGAGTGGGCACCAGGACAAATGAAGAGGGTGAACCTCTGAGCAGGAACACGACAATAAAAACCTGAATAGGGGCTCTAAACCTTCTCAACCTTTAATAAACAACAACAGCCCTCATTCACCTTTGTAGCTATAGGCATTGTGGAAATCATCATTTTGAAAACTCTAAACAGAGGCACTAAAATATTTGCTGCTTTCTATGGAGAGCAGACCTTGGCAGCCTGCCAGCCTCTAGTGTAAACACACAGCAGGTGTTTCTAAGCTGTAACTACTTTGAAGTCTTGTTGTGATCTTTAAGGATAGATAACTTCATAGTATAAGCAGCTTGAGATGTAAGGGGCGGTTTGCTTCAAAGCTCTTTTAATTCTTTTCAATAATATGTAAATACTTTAATGATTATAGTCTGTGCACTTAAAAGTCAAAACAAAGCTTTGATTCCAAACATACCCACAGCAGTGCAGGGCTGACACCCAGCTCATAATCTTATGTTTCCCAACCCGCTGTCTTTCCTTCAGGTACTCAACCTGCTACAGGACTCACTTTTCCATGGGGTTTTACAAAGACTGTATCACATACCTGGTGGAGGACCGATTAGCTGAGGAGGCCTCCCTTGCGGCTCTTGTCTCACACCCCTGGATGTGGAAACAGGGAGCGAGTAGACAGAGAGAAGCACCTGTGCCAAAGTGTTCAGACACGGTGCCTGGTAGAAGTCCGGCCACTGGATCCATGGAAGGATGAGCAGGGCTGGTGCACAGCTGTGATGTCAGCGAGGTTTGCAGCAGAAACTGGAGCGAGGTCAAACAAGCCAGGGATCAAGCCAGACGGTCAGCACGGTACAGAAGGAGCAGGCAGAAGAAGAGTCCAGATAACAAGCAGATGTCAGGGGCAGGCAGCAATCAGTCGAAGTCAGCAGCAATCAGGGTCGAGGTAACAGGCAACAGATCAGCAGGAACACAAGCTGAAAGACTATTCACCACTGACCCATTTAGCCAGCTGGTTTAAATAGTAACATCTATTAGAGGGCTGTGAGTCATTTCCTGTGTGCCACTGTGTCACTTCCTGTGTGCCACTGTGTCACTTCCTGTGTGTCACTGTGTCACTTCCTGTGTGCAACATTCCGTTGTGAGCGCATGCGTGCTAACACATGTTTTCCGGCAACCCGGAAGACTGGGACCCGCGCATGCACAGTAGCGCGCGAACTCCCGGCTATGGCCTTACAGACTGCCAAAAAAGGTGCCCCAACATAACATCCACATGAGATAAGTGTGTAAGCCATCAGTCCTGCTGACCAGAGGCGAGAACGCCACACAGGCACTTACCCCACAGTACTGCTCCTCATTGAAGATCTGGGGAGGGAGAGGAATTCCGTTTTTTGGCTTTTTTTCACCAGGCACATTGTCTCTCATCCACTTCCTGTTGTCATCATTGCATGCAATATCTTTCTGTTCAAAGTCAATCCTGTTTGCCTCCAAAAAACCGACCACATCCTGCTGTTTCTTTTTGATCTACAAGTTAAAAAAACAAAACAGTTACGTGAAAGAAATCCCAAATTCCTCTTCTTTAGAAGATTTCAAGAAAAATCTGCATATTGAAAATTTGAATGCCAACTGACATTTTCCATTTTGGTAGGTCCCCTAGAACCACCAGACAGTCTCTTCCGTCTATCGGGGACTCTATTGGTAAGAACTCTGCATTGAGTTCCCTGGTCTGCGCACCTGCTGTGGTCATTTTAAAAGGGCTGCCATTGCCATGCTTTTTATTGATTTTATATTATGAAGAATGTATTAAGAGGAGCTGGCACACCAGTACGGGAGGGAACACCCAAAACTTCTAGGTTGACCGGAACAGCTTAAGGAAATGTAGCAGGGAGATCTCTCTGCTGGACGATTCAAAGACACATAAGAAGCTAGGGGCTAACGCAGCCCACCATGCTTAATCCATAACTAGAATATGACTTCTGGATGGAATGGCACTTTAAAACAAATATTCAGTGTGTGCCAATGTGTAAAAAAATTGTTTTCAGTTTTAGTTTAACAATATCAGCTTTCACACTTGTATACCCTTTATGAACCGGAGCAATTTTTACATTTCAACTACAGAACTGGAGGACATATACTAGCATCCTCCCGTGACCCAAAGCGCTATACTGAGACCACCGCAGCCGGAACGGATCCCGACATTACTGTCGAGATCCACCCAGCTGCGTGAGTGACAGCTGGCTCTGCCTATCAGTCAGGGCTGGAGGATCGGACAGAAGAGGGGGGAATCCTTGCAGGGAGTCGTGAGTGACAGTCACCGATCTCTGCAGGGAGATGATCGAGAAGTGAGCCAGCGACGGTATGTGTTCGCTCACTTCCCGATCTATTGAGCCGACATGTGACATTGTCACACATCGGCTCTAACTATGAGGTTAAAGGAGAACTATGGGGTTAAGGCTTTTCCCCATAGTTCTCCAAAGGGTAACGGGAGGACACAAACTAGCGTCCTCCCATCACCCTAGGCTCAGTATACCGCGAGCTGTAGCTCGCGGTATACTGAGACGCCACAGTATACCGCGAACTACAGCTCGCAGTACACTGAGAAGTCGCAGTTGAAGCGGATACCAACAATTATGCCGGGATCCACCCAGCTGCGTGAGTGACAGCTGGCTCTGCCTATCTAGAGGCAGAGCCAGCTGTACCCGCCCCCTCCCCCGTCCGTTCCGCCAGTCAGCGCTGGCAGATTGGAGCGGGGAGGGGGGAATCCAGCCCCTCCCCTGTCACGGCAGAGAGCCGTGACAGGATCGAGAGGGGAGTGAAGGCCGGGATGTGTTCCCTCACCTCCCGATCTACTGAGCCGACCTGTGACAGTCTCATTGTCACAGGTCGGCTAGAACTATGAGGTGAGCGAAAATCACTCACCTCATAGAACTCCTTTAGGGTTCAATGTTAGGAGGAGTTTTTGTATAGGTGACACTTTATTAATCAGTGTAGTTCAGGACAGATGCAATATTCACACTAGCTCTCTGTATCCAGAAGCTTGTGCCAAAACTACCAGCCCTGAGCTCCCAATGCCAAGAACAAATCTACCGGATTAATGAACAGTGTTCCTTCAAACAGCAAATCATCCTACTGGCGTCTCAACAGATATTTACAGCAGTCCTAGAGAACAGAATCTCTGCACAAGAGACATCCTCTCCTGGATTGATTACGGATCTTAGAGCTACATATTGGGCAATAGACTTGTAAGCTGCGGAAAAATTTGGTTCGGTTACGTTATTTCGGGATTCGGATCTGAAATTCAATTCGGTTCAGGTTTCGGATTTGGACGAAATCTGATATTTCGTTAGTTTCAGATGAGTTTACGAATATTCATTGGAACGAATACCACACAAAACCATAAACTGATATTAATATTGAAGCTGAATCTCTGAATTGCATTTGGGAGCTCCCGAATGGCAATCGGGTCTGGGAGCCTCAGCTTTAGTAATATATGTATATGCCTCCCAGACCCGAATGGGATTCGGGATCCAAATTTCCGAGTTGCATTCCAGAGCTCCTGACAGATCCTTTTCATTGTGGAAGGAAAGCCCCTTTTAGGCTCCATTCGCACATAGCGCTATTGTTTTCCAGACGGTTTTTCGCATGGAAAACCGCACGGAACAAAACTATAGCCGGAACGTGCAGAATCCGCCCCTAATATTGCGCTTGGACTATTTTGCAGAACGCAATAGTCTGAACAATGCACAGTGCAATGCATTTTGTTTATGTTTAGTGCGGTACCGCGCGTATTCGTACGGCCGAATACTCCCGGAAAACTGCTGATGTGTGACTGGAGCCTTAGGCCCCATTCACAAATTGCTCCATAAGACCTATGCAATCTGTTAGGGGAGGAAGATGCAGTACAAATAGAATGACAGTTGCCAGTGCCGCAGTCATCCGCAGCCGTTCACATGCTATCGCACATGCTGCTATTACCTACAGAGGTTCGCTCCTAGGCATAGACTGTTTGCGTCCAGGGGCAATCATTCACAAGTTTAATTAGGTCTCTTGTGCCGCCTTGCTGGACTGACTGCTGGGGAATTTTTATATTGCCCATTAGAAGATTTTCCCTCACCTCCTGTTTCAGTGACAACTATAAAATATGTTGAGTTTCCATAATTTCTGTCACACTGACAATAGTCACCAGGACAATATCCCCAGACAGCAGTAAAAACCTGGTAGAGTTTCTTCACCTTTCCTACTCCATCGAAAAGTAAAAAGAAAAGTGTTTGCTTTAGATACACTTTATATGTTGATGGGGTTGTTGCTCGTCCTCTATCCTGGATACAGGCCAGGTTCAGACCTCCGCGATCCGGGATCACGCGTCTCGGGATCGCGCGGTCCTGCACAATGCAGGCAGCGATTGCCACGTGGCCCCATTGATTTCAATGGGGTAACATCCGTGCGGCAATCGCACGGATACTCTTCTTATGATTGGCTTCACATCTACATGCCTCCATTGTCATGCATTTTTTTTATTGATATGGGCAGGTGTTTTGTCATGCTTTGATAGGCACCACCTTTCCTGTCAAAGGCCCATATAATGGATCAAAAACAGACAAACTTTTTTGGGGCCACTGCATGTCAAAACAACAAATTGATCTAAAAACAATGGCGAACCTCTGTGTATGTGTTGAAGTGTGTTACAATGCATAGCTGTATATGGACACCAAGGCCTCATTCACACAATTGTGCACAGCCGTACAGCGTGCTACTAGTTATGGGGGAGCATGTGTCCTCCTCCCATGCTGCAGTGCTTGAGCAACCTGTCCCTGACAGGACCGTATAAGACTAGAGTCATTGAGGTTGATTTACTAAAGATAAATAGGCTGTTAACTTTGCAAAGGAATTTGCACGTTGCAGGGGAAGTTTCCCTTAGCTTAGTGAATATGGCGAAATTTCACTTTGTAAAGAATATCCAATCATGTGCAAGGAAAATAAAAATTAAAAAACAGTATTTTTTCTTGAACATGATTGGATGATGGAAGTCAGCTGAGCTTCCCCTTATTCACTAAACTACGGGCAAACTTCCCCTGCTGAGTGCAACTTCCCTTGCAAAGTGAACAGCCTATTTGCCTTTAGTAAATCCACCCCATTGCAATAGCTAATCTACCCGGCTTGTTGGGTTTTTCTAGAAATCTGTATTAATAAAGAGTATCTATGGTCCAAAACAAAAAAAAATGTATTTCTATACTGAATTTCCATAAGTTCTATCCCACTCCTAATAACCGTATCAATCTAGAAGTTTGTAAACGTACTTATTGAAATGCCCATAGGATCTACTTCCTCAATGCACTGACACCATTTCACTCAGCCCTGTGAATATGTATTTCCTGGTGTCTGAACTACAACTCAATGTCTGAACAATGTAACATTATCATTGCTCGCTGGAAGAAATGCATGATGGACCATGATGAGATTACATCACATCAGCAGTAAAGAAGTAAAGAGACGCAAAGCACACTGGGAATCCAGGAAGATGATGAAAGTGATGGGCAGACGGAAGGCATCGCTCACTACATAAAATGGAAGCTTTGATTGTATTATCAGAAACATCTCTGGTATATATTCCTATTACAATGCTGATGTTATAACAGGAGAGGATATGCCGGGACTTTACAACTCCTTTTAATACAAGAGAAAAAATGGATACGCAAACATTTAAAGGAGAATTATGAGGTCAGTGATTTTCACTCAGCCTCATAATCTGAGCCGACCTGTGACAATGAAACTGTCACAGGTCGGCTCAGTAGATCGGGAAGTGAGCGAACACGTACCGGCGCTTGCTCACTTCTCGATCTATCCCTGCGTTGAGCCATGACTGTCACTCACGGTTCCCTGCAGGGATCCCCCCCCCCTCCCCTGTCCGATCCTTCATCGCTGACTGGCGGAACAGACGGGGGAGGGGGCGGGTACAGCTGGCTCTGCCTCTAGATAGGCAGAGCCAGCTGTCACTCATGCAGCTGGGTGGATCCAGACAGAATTGTCGGGATCCGTTCCGGCTGCAACTTCTCAGTATACCGCAAGCTGTAGCTCGCGGTATACTGAGCTTTGGGTGACGGGAGGACGCTAGTTTGTGTCCTCCCGTTACCCTTAGGAGAACTATGGGGAAAAGCACTGACCCCATAGTTCTCCTTTAAAGATGTGAAAGTCAAGAAAAATTAGTGTAAGCGCTGCAATAGTAAATCTCAATGAAAATAATCTGCTTACTCTTTATTACTGACCTCTGCGCCCCCCCCCCCTTCACCTCTAACTAGTTATTAATTTAAAAAGCCAAAACTAATCTAAAAGCCCCATTTCTTTAGATGCCCACGTGGCTGCTTGGGTTGCCATTGGCTATCCATTGCCAGGGTCCACTAAGTCCCTAAAGACCACAGCGCGGACTCCAGCACTGAACACGAAGGGTCCCATGACTACGGAGTCAGGTAAGCAAGTAATGCAGTTAGAGGGGTGTTTATGGGCCATTTGGTGGGAAGGTGGGTTGG